AGTTCTGTATGCACAAATAAATAAATCTTTTAAAAAAAATCACATTGAGGGCCTCCCTGGTAGCACAAGGGGTTAAGTTTTAACACTATGAAGCTCTCTACAGTCATGAGTTCAATGCCCAGCCAGGGAGGTCCCCAACATAGTTGCACAGACCTCTCCTGACCTGTCCGCTGCTCCCCTCAGCAGAGTATTTAAGTTCATCTGCTTGTTCTGCTCCCCACTCTCTCTCTGGTGAATCTTCTCAACCCCACCTCCCCCAATACTTTGGGCCTATACCCAGCTCCTATATGCATAAACAAATACATCTTTTTTAAAAAATAAGAGTCCCATTGAACTCACAGTCACTGTTTGCTTTCTTTCTCTCTTTCACTAAGAGACATTTTGACATTTAAAAAATGGCAGGAGGCTGGGAGCCCGTGACTCCTGGGAAAATTGGGGACCATGGGAGTAGCACCTTGACTCTCTGGCTGTTTTCTTGTCTGTCTGATGGAGGTAAATCATAACTGCCTCTTTTTCATGGGCAGGAAGCACGCTGTTCCCCATTCTCACGAGGGTGGTGCCAAGCAGTACTCTTGTGATTCTTGTGGGAGGGGTACTTTGAAGACTAGATCATAGACAAGAGGCCTTGGCCTAGAGGGTCTATCTGGGGGGGGGGGTGCGTTGGAGACAGGGAAGAATCGCTGCTGCTCCTGTTCTTTTCCTTGTTCTGGTCACAGCTGCTCCATCTGTGCCCAGAACCCCAAATTCTGTGAAGGCCTTTCTAGCACCGTTTTCTCTTGTCTTTCCCCACCCTGGCCTGGTTTTAGAACAACGAAGGGCTGCTCCTATATGTGAGTAACAAACAGCTACCAGTTCCTCTTATCTCATGAAACCACCGCGGTGACCTCAGAAGTTGCAGTGTTTGTCTCTGTTTAGTGGGGTTGCCAAGGAAACAAAGTTCTCTCTTTCCCACTATGTGATTGTGGGCAAGTATTTTTCCCCTTTCTCATAGGGAAGGGCAGGATGACCAGAGAGGGCTCTGTGTTTGCTGGGCCCATCCTCTGTTTTTTTTTCCCCCCATCTGTTGACTCGTTTGGCTGGAACGGGTGTGGGAAGTCTATAGAAGAGCTGAGAAGTCAAAAGTCTCTCAGCTCATCTTGAAAGATGAGAACTGGGAGTGACGGAGGGCTTGGAAGAGCCGGGTTGGCGTTGGGTCTGGACTTGGGGTTCAAAGGTTGTATCTGTTCCAGCAGTTGTTGAATCTGCACACCATGACCAAGCCAACAGATGAAGACCATGAACTTGGCATTATGAATGAAGAGGTTAGGAGCTGGAGGTGAAATTGGGATTTGAGAAGCCAACAAATGGTTTGTAACATTCTGAAGAGTCTTGGTGGTTGGAAAAGGCCACTGTGTATGTGACCTACACAGGAAGTGTGATATTTGGAATGTTTAGACAGTGATTGACATGGGGAGAGATGACCAAGACCGCTTCTTCCTTGAGGGGTGCGACTCAGGAAAACCAGAGCTCTACTAAATTTGGGGTGTTAAAGGGATAGGTATATGTACGCTAGGAAGCTGAGGTTGGCATGAGTCACTATCTTGGGATGACAGCAACACAGTTCAGGGTCCAAGGTGGGCCCAGGTTGGGGATGTGGGAGAGCAGACATGGAATGCTCACTGATCACAGAAATGGATGCCCCAGACACAGGGCCAGGCAAAGGATTAAGGGAGAGGATGAACACTGAAGAGGCGGAGAAGGGGAGCTAGAGCTCAGACCCTTAGACTTGGCCTGTCCACAGAGCTGGTGGGTGTTGTGAGTGAACTTTCCATGGTGCCAGATGGAGCAGCAGGGACTGAGAACATCTTCCCGTGTGCCTGTGGGGATAGAATGGGGCAGGACATGATACACCCTTTCTCACTGAGAACTCCTAAGCCCCTTCACCAAGGTCAGGAGTCTCGTGGGGGGGGGGTGGTATTAAGGAGAATGCACTAAGCGATCTCCATGGACATTTTCAGAAAAGGGAGCAGGCCCACATGTATTCATTTGGTTCTTCCCTTCATGCTCTTTCACATATATGCTCTGCCTTTTTCTTTTGGGTCACCTTTGGGGTCTTTCTACCTAGTCACCCCCTAAAGTGAGGTTGGGTCAACAGTTACCTTGCCACCCACTCCAAAGCTGTCACATGAAAAGAGCGGGACAGAGGCGACTACATGGATGTGGGGCTGAGTCTCATTGTACCAGAACAGGGAAACCTGTGTTGTCTCACTTCCCTCACCTGCACGCCGGGTATCGTGAAAGTTACAGCTTATGGGTACAGCCTGGCTCTGCCGCTCAGGGGGACTCATGAATGCCCAGTGGGTCAGAAAAACAGCACCTCTAACTATGCTAGGTCCTCCTACCACCTACTCCATTTATACTCAGTCAGACACCAGGGTTATATTTAGAAAAAAAAAAGAGCAAAGTTTATTGAAAGTTCAAGCTTACATTAAACAATCAAAACCCGAATCCTGTAGACATACATCATCAGGATAAGGTGTCAGAAAGTGGAATTCACTGCTACAGAACCCTCTGGAGACAGGCTTCTTGAACACATCACCCAGGCACCGTGGGGTCAAAGCCATTCCCTCGTCTAGCCCTTGTCAAGAGGACACCAGCAAAATGATCTCTGTTCACCTGAAAGTTTTCCACCAGCATTAAGAAAAAAGTTTTTGAAGGACACTGTGAAACGCCAACTGATCTCCTCTCAACCCCATTCTATGTAGTCAGCACCAGTGAATGGTGGGTTTGGCGTTCAAAAGAGGACCTTATGTGTCTGCAGGGGACAGATGGGACAAGGGTCACAGCAGCAAGGCATCGTGGCTGCGTTCAGAGGCTGGTCCCCTGCTTCCCTTTGCTCTTCAGACTTACTTAACCTAGAGGACAAACTGGATCAACTTGGTAAATGAACACAGTCAACAGGGACCAGTCAGTACGCCCGAAGCTGGTTAGGCCCGTCAACGCTTAGATGTATGTGTGTATGTATACAACCTACACTAAGATATAGATCTAGCCCTATGGGTATATATACGCATGGATGGCTATATAGAAAAACTAAGCCAATACTAACCAAACAGAACTTTGTAAGCGGTCATCCCAAAGCCATAATCCCACACTGGGCTGTGCACAAAGCCATGCATTATATCATATTAACCAACAGAAGGCGGACTTGGCTCAATCTCTCCCATCTGGGACCCTGTCGAGACAGGGTAGAAGAGAGAGGTTGCCTCTGCTTAAAACACAAGTGGCTTCTCATAGGAACAGTCGTTGTCAGATGAAGCTGTTGAAGATGTCCATGGAAATGAAACAGACCCCTTATACTTTCTGGAGCAAACTGGCATTACATCTCAAACTACCTTTCTCCTTTGCCAGTTGTGGCTAAGTTGCCCAGGCCCTGGGAGCCCCCAGGGCGCGATGGCATTGAGAGGCTCACTGGCTTGGGGTGGCAAGGCCCCAGTGCAACTCAGCCTCCAGAGACCTGCTCTTTGTCAGGGGTCTGTCACTGGAGTGGACCCAGGTGGCCATGTCCTTGGGACATCTCTTGGCACCAGCTATGCTAGGTGTAAAGTTCTCCACGTGAGATGACGCTTGGGGAGCCAAAAACAAACTGGAAAGAACTAGGTAGAACAAGTTTAGTGGCTCTGCCCACCTGAGGACAGAGCCACTTACACCGCAGAACCACCGGGGGCCTCAGGAGCTTGTGGGGCCTCAGGAGCGGGCTCTTCGGGGCTGAGGCGGGACTGGAACTTCTCCAGTTGCTCTGGGCTTGCCAGGGTCTTCAAGAGGGTGTTCTCACGCTCCAGCTGGGAGTTCTTCTCCACCAGCTCTCGGATCTGCTCCTTCAGGATCTCCACCTCCTCTCTCACAGCATACATCAGATGGTTCTTCACCAGATCCTACACAGACAATCACACCAGAGGGAATCACACCAGAGCTATGCATTGGCCACCACAGCCCCCACCAAAGCACCTTCACTCTGCGGCAGAGTGCCCACGCTGTCCTCTCACCACTGACCGTCGGCCTGCCTCTTGGCTCCCTGCTCAGTCTTCTTGTAACCTGATTCAGGAGACCGGAAGCATTGGAGCCAGCCAGGTCTGAGCGGGGCGCCAGGCTTTGAACTACAGAGCAGCCCCCATGCCCGCAAGTTTCTGATGGTGCTCAAAACTGGCCGCTAAGGAACCGCCTGGATGAAACTCCTGCGGGCAGCTGATGGTTTGCTATGTACTCATTTTCGTGTTAGGTCCTGCTCTGGCCAGGATCCCAGGGCCGACCTGCAAAGCACCCTGTGCGCTGTGACCACTCTACACATCTTTACCAAGAGCATAACGTGAGCGATGGCGGGGTCTCCTCGCCATGCAACCCAGCACACTGAACAGCAGCTGCCCTGCGGCCCAGCCAGGCAAGATGTGGGGCCTGAAGGAAGGTGTGGGCAACTGGACTTGCTGCATCCTTGAGGAACTATGTCCTTAGGTCCCAGGGCACAATTAAGTGGATGCTACCGGCTGCACGCCTTAACCCCTGCAGCCATTTTGGCAGCTCAGTGGAGTATGACCTCTACCATGGAGGGAGAAGAGGTGGGGGGCTTTGCTTCCTGTTTCCTCCCAACTCCTGACCCCAGCTGGGTCTCTGCAGAGGCACTGCATTGCGCATGTATCCAATGAGCTCTGGGCCCTGCCAACTGCAGGAGGCAGATAAATGCTAGTGTCCGAGTTCCCCACACAACACCGAGCCCAGGAGGGCGCCAGAAGCTGCTGCAATGCCCCTGCCCTCAGGGTGGGAGAGGGAGGAATAAAAGAGGGGATCCCAGCCAGGTCAGACTGGAAATGCCCTAAGGGGGGGCCACTGGGAGGGACTTTGACTCAAGGTCTCTAAGGGGACAGAAGAAGCAGGCTTTTGGCTCTGGGACCCACCCGCTCAGGCCTGTCCCATGTTACATAAGCAGCAGCAAGGTCTGAGGATGGGTATGACGCAGTGATGCCACTTACCATGGCCTGCTCGATCTTGTTGTCTATGGCCACCACGCTGGCTCCGGAGGCACTGCCAAGACAAAAAGAGAAGCAGCCACGTTACCTACTCGCTTCCACTCTGACTCCCTGGCAGCTGTGGTCAAAGTCCTCCATCTGCCCCTGCTCCTCCTCTCTTCCACCTCCGTGGTCCGGGGTACCGTGCAGCCTGTCCCCAAGTCCCTCCCTGGCCCCTGCAGGAAGCTGCACCTCCCCACCCAGGCTAGCTCCCCGCCGCCACCCAGAGACCCGCGTGGAGCAGGGCGCCGGCGGGTCACTGGGCGCAAGGACCAATGTGGCCTGCTGGGCCAGCCCAGGCGGGCGACGTGCAAACAATGGGGCCGCCCAGAAGGTCGGGGCGAACCTACCCAGCTCCGAAGCTAGCTAGGAATTCCTTCCCAGCTGGTAAGCTTCCGGCCTGCTCCTCAGCGGTGCTCGGCGCGCCACCAGCCCCCTGCCCAGCGCGGCCCAGCCCGGCCCCGCCGCCCCTCTGCACCGGCTGCCTCTGCCTCGGGCTGCAGCAGTTCGTTTTCACGGCGCAGCGGCCGCAGGGACGCTCCGACGGCGACGGATCCCAGCGCGGCGGTGACCCCCCTTCCTGCGTCCCCTCCCCCCGCCCCTTCCCAGGATGCTGCACCGCGGGGAACGGGGACGGCGGCGCACTGCTCGCTCCGAGATCCCGCTCGCAGCCCAGCCCCCCGCGGGCACTGGGTCGACTGGGGAGCTGGGACCAGTGGTTACCTGTTATCCAGCTTAACGGAAACCACATCCCCTCCAAGCAGGGAAGAGAAGAAGGAGATGTTGAAATTGTGCAGTTGATAAACCGCCACCTCCATGGGGGTCTGATACATTTCGGTGTTCATGGCTCGGGCTGCCGGGGAGCGCTGGCCGGGCTGGGCGGACTGGGAGGGCTGCGGAGCTGCGCGCGGGGCTGGGCTGTGCGTCCTGCCTGGGGCTAGGAAGGGGTCGAAGGCTGCCGCGCAGAGCCAAAGCCGGTCAGAGCTGAAGGAAGTGACTCGAGGGGTGTCACCTAGTGTGTCACAAACTCCAAGGCCGCCAGTCCAACCCAGACTCGGAGATATTTCGGCTCCTGCTTCTTTATATAGGAGGAGTCGGCTGCGTCACATGGCGTCAGGGGCCATGCAAATGAGTCCTGTACCGAGCTTTGTGGCCCAGTTAAACCACATCCCCTCCCTGAACCTTAGGCTGGGACTGTAAACAGTTCAGCACTTTCTTGTGCCAACTGGCATCTGCAAAGAGGGCTCTGGAGATTGGTAAAAACCAAACTGGAGCGGATTCGAGAGAAATAAGTCCAAATGCCAGAACAGGAGGTTGAAAGCATTAAGTAGAGGACGGAGTTGGTTTTGAAAGCTCTTCTTGAGGTGTCAGCCAATCTCACCGCCCCCCCCCCTCACCCCATGGCTTTGCAGTGCTGTGGCACGCCATAGTGCCTGGTTATAGCACCCTACCATCAGGAACGGCACCTTCTTCCTAGTCTCTCTCATGCACACACATACTTTGTCACCTGCATGTCTCCTCACCTTTCCCTAGCTGCAGTACCTAGCCACTCACCTCCTTTGCATGTCTCTGTTCATGCTGTTGACTCATGCACAGATATGTGACATGCACCGGACCATGCACAGGTCTGAGTTAATCTGTGCATGCCAGTGGGCACAGATGGAGGAGAGGGTGTTCAGGAATTCAGATTAGTTGGGGAACATGTACCAGGGAGAAACTGGGGGGGTGGGGATTAGGGAGTGGGCAGGTGAACACAGGCCGTTCCATTTGCAAAGGGCTGTCAAACAGAAGTCTCCAAGCCACCCTCTACTGCACTAGCCCAGGTAACCTTTTCTTCTTTGGTCTCCACACCCTACTGTGCCAAGACAATACATTCAACTTGATGCAAGATCACATGATACTATCTTTAAAAACAAAATTTCAATACTTTACTAGCGGCAACAAAATTACAAATCCAGTCTTTATATATAACCCAGACCAGGAAAACACCTGCCTTTGGATGGGTCCAGCTATACTTAGGGTCAGAGAACATTCCGGAACCAACAGATCCCAAGTAAAAGCAAAACGAGGTGATTTTTTGCCTTGCAATAGTTACATGTTTCCGTCAAAATATATTTTTAATTTTTTTCAGCCTTAAACTTAGAAAAAAAAAAAAAGGCATCTGAGGCTTGATATCCTTTCCTCCCGCTTTTTCCTTAGTGCGCCATCTGGTGGCCTGAAGCAGAATTGCAGCAGCCAGAAGGCACAATCTAGACAGTACCAGGGACAGGTGATAACAACTGCGTTATTCGCACCATCTCAGGGCCATAAGGAGGATATTGGGTTCCACTACATATATAATAGTTTGGATGAAGTTATGGCCAGTGCCCATGAATCTTATGTGATTCAAACAAATACTGAACGCAATCGTGCTATTGGAAAAGTACTGGAGCCTCTTATCAGCAAAGAAGGTAATTATTATTTGCTTCAGGATATTTCTCCTAACCAGGTGCCTGGCACTGACACCCTGGCAAGGCCCCAGCTAACCCTGGTCCGAAGGCCCTGATATTTTCTCCAGACTGCCAGTGCACCTATGCTGTTGAATGGCCGGTATTTCTCACAATGACTTGGGGATCTCACTGGATCCCACCAGTGCTAACATGTGGACAGGACCATTCTGTTTGCAAAGAGCTGACAAACAGAACTATCCAAGTAGCCCTACTGCACTAGCCCAGGATGGTGTTTTCCTTCACCCCAGTTTAGATGGGAGACCATCCCAATCTCACGCTATTTGTTAACTTTGGGCCCTAAGGTTTTCTGAACACGGTGTTTGCACTAAGCTCCATGGAGTATACAGAACAAAGTTCATACTGTATTTATAGGTTATCAAGAACATTAGCCGAGAAAAAACAACACCACCTTCTTAGCTGAGGAGCGTAATTGATACTGAATTCCCTCATCTATTCATCTGCTCTTTGCACCACACAGGTCCAGGAAGAGTCTCTGGGTTGACCTCTCCTGGGTTTGCTAATCTTTCCTAAACTAAATATTGCTACCCACCCCGAGATTCCAAGGAGGTGATAAAATAAAAGGGAGAGAGATAAATTAACTGGGTTGGATGGGAAAAAACACCAGGAGAACAGGGCGTAGGACAGGGACGGAAAGACTCCTTCAGTGAGAGGCCCTTATAAGGAGACATAAGAAGCCAGGTAGTTTAGGGGGGAAAGGAAAAGAGGATACACTTGCTCTTCAGACTGCCTTGGTATTGTATGTTCATTATACTTGAATTTAAAAAATAAACTGTATTCGAGACCCAACAATAATAGCTATGGACCAGACACTGCTGGCTGTGCCTTGTACAGGTGAAGAAATGGACAGTCTGAGGCTACCTTGTCGACAATGGCACAGCTAAGAAAATGCAGAGCTGAGAGTCCAACCTGGGTCTTCTTGACCTCGAGAACAAGTTTGGTTTTAAGATGCTTACAAGGGGACCAGGGAATAGGTCTGTTGCATGTGGGCGTCAAGGCAGTTGGGGTTGGGCTGCAAGTAGAAGGAAAGTGGCAGGAAACAAGGGCGAGAGGCAGGAGAAAAGCCGCCAAGGTGCCTGCAGTTCCTACTCAACAGCGATCAGCCAGCTTTTTGGACATTCACAGTTCAGGAACACAGCACTGGGGTGCCAGAAGAATAGCCAAAGCTTCTGAGTGAATTTTATATGGCTGTGCTCACCCGTTCACCCATGCTGTTTGAAAAGGCAGCCCCACCATACTCAGAGGTCCCTCTGTCTTAAGGAAACAGCCACTGAACCATCTAGCTTCCAGACCATGCAGTCCCGGACAGGTAACAGCCCCAATCCTTTAAGGAGTCTTGCAGTGATAACCCCAGTCTAATCAAACCTCCAGTTCTGAGGGGCCTGCCATATGCTCCCTGTCATACACCCCCACCTCCACCCCTCCTGCTGTGCTCAGCTTTTTAGGACAATGAAGTCGTGGAGAAAACAAGTTCCTATCAGGATTTCGTTAAGAAAACAACCTTAGCCCACACGCAGTCAATCTCTGGGCCTCTCTAAACCTATAGCTGGCCAGTGAGAAGTGTTCACCCTGTTGCCCTGTGATCCTCCATGAGTAAACAACACGCTGATCCCAGGATCCTGGGCTAGCCAAGGAAGACAATGGAAGTAAGTGTCCTTGGAAAGGCATGCTCAAATAACAAGGGCATGAAAGTTCCGGGGTGAAATAACAAGGGCAGGGAAGTTAGTGGTGAAGATGGAGGAGGTTTTCTGTGCAATCCTGGCCACATGGGAAAATTCCTCTGGCTGCACCAAACCTTGTTATGAGCGGAAGTCAATGCTGGACAAGGCATCTGTGATCTGACCTAGCTTTTCTGAGCAAGGTGTTGATCCACAAGGACCTAAGTGTCCTCGTGTCCTGTGGTAGTGGGCCCCTGGCAGGAAAGTGTGGCCAAGGGATTCAAAAGCTCGTCAACCCCAATGTGTGTGTTTCCAGACCTCCTTTCCTCCACCCTCCTGTACAGACAGCTCTGGACAGCACCCAGCTGAAAAGTGAGGTCTTTTGCCTGCAGCCTGTCAGATCTAGTGCTAGGACCACAGGATTCTGCAATTATATGGACAGAGCTGGCCTGCCTCACTCAGGAGTGATTTTCTAGATGGAGGAGTACAGGATAAGGACTCCAAGAGCAGCTCCCTCCATTTTAGGAGACCCTGGAAGCCAACTTGTTCCCCTTGAGGTAGAAGTGTCTTAGCATGCTCACCAGTCTGTTCCCCTTCAAAAGCCAGACTCTTCGGGACATGAGTCTTTCCTACTCCAGTTCCCACAGAGCAGTCTGGACCACAGAACCCACGGGCCAGAACCCGTGGGCAGGATCTCAGCACGCGGGCAAGGAGTGGGGAGCAGACTGGGGGTGGGTGCGGTAGGTTAGGGTGGCGATTAGGGAGGACATCTCACTTCCCTTTTTGTCACACTTGAAGCATTGTGTACCACACGGCCCAAAGGAAACTATTTATAGACAAGTCTTCCTTAT